GGCCCCGAGCCCGCCGAGTCCGGCGCAGCGCTCAGCAAGTGCGTGTCCCCCGAGCCCCCGGGACCCCAGCGTGCCCCCGAGCCCCGCGAGCCCGGTCGCGGCGCTCAGCAAGTGCGTGTCCCCCGGATCCCGCAGGACGACGAGAGAGCGGTGTCAGGGTGGGATGAGAGCTAGGACACGCACCGCCTGACCTGCCTCCGTGGGAAGCAGACGGGAGGGACTTTCCCACGACCCAGTCCTAGCCGATAGTCGCTGTAGAGACATTTCCATGATGAGGGGGTGTTTGTCCTAGCAGGGGTGAACTCCTGCCCAAACCATCTGTGACCATCAGAGTGCAATAGTAGGTGACTGCCACCTGCCGGGAAGCTTACCTCCTCACGTGTCTCTGGGTTTTCTTTTGTCTCGGCAGTTTGGTAACTCTTATTCGACATCCATCTGAGCTGATGAACGTTCCTCTTCCTCAGCAACAGAACAAATGCACGACGTTAGTGAAAAATAAAACTGCCGCCACAGCGACTGCCTTGCAGCTAACGTACCCTCTGTTTACAGCCAACGCGTGCCCTGCTGCTGGGAATTCTGCTCTGTCACAGACACAGGTAGGGAAAATGATTTGTGATGCTCTGCTCTTTTGCATTAAATGGATGTGGTAACTTATTTTAGTTAGGTCCTAAGGATTCTTTTTTTTCCTTTTGTTGAGCTTAATAACCTTTTAAAATCGAGAGTGTTTATGTGGTTTGGGGAATATTTTTAAATCCTCAATGCAACTAAAGTTATTCAGGTTAAGTACTAATAGTTTCGATATTACTTCTGTTACGTGCATTTTATTTGCACAGTAAGAGGCAATTGAGCCACATATTGATAAAATTCCTGTTGCTTCATTTTTTCTAGAGTTCTAGTAACTCATGTGCTGCACTTGAAGCTGCCAAGCACCAGGATATTGGATTGCCTAGAACATTTTCTTTCTGTTATCAGCAAGAGATTGAATCCACTAAACAGACTTTAGGTGGTAGAAACAAAGCTTTGCCTGAGCAGGTTTGGATTAAAGTGGGAGGTAAGCGACAATGCAGAGGTAACGGGTACTTCCTCCTCCTGACTGACCTTTGCGCTCCTGTCACTTTGGCCTTGGGCAGGGGAGAGAGATGGCTTATACACAAAGGAAACGATCTTGGAAGTGAATGTATATCCCTCACTTTGAACGCTCCTCTGAATTTCAAACATCAGAATTAACCTTCGTGTGGAAACATTGAGTTTGAGGGCTTTTTCTTAACAGTAGAACAATAAACTTACATTTTCAGTTGTCTTTCAGTTACTGAAAGAACTTTATAGTTATTGTTTTCTTATTGGTACACTGTGAGACAGGAGCCTGAACTCTGCTAAAAGCTTTAGGAGAGGGGAGAATAACAGGAAGGCTCTCTGCAGATGGCCAGAGGACTGGGTTGGGAGCAAGAGGCCATAAGGCGATTCAAAGTTTTGGAAATAAACGGCTGAAGGCAAACTTTGCTAACCTCGAAAGTTAACTCTCAATCCCTTCCTCCCTGGAAAGGAATTATTTTTGAAGTTATCCAATGAAATAACACAGTGTGCGCTAAACTTTTCAAGAGCTGACAAAGGGAGGATTTGGATGGAGTGCTACTGCCATCTCCCCACCAAGAGTTCACTTTTTCCTTGTTATGACATTTTATGCAGAAGATTATGTTGACATGTTTGAGGTATAAGGCGAGTATTAAAATGTCCCCTGTGCACACTACTCATGTTGAGGAATAAAATCACCAGGACTTTTGGATTCCTCTCTATGTCTCCTTAAAACGTCATGACCATTCTGAAATTTGTGTCAAAGCGACTTCTCCCACTGTGGAGAATTTGGACTTGTGTGGCATGTGGGGATGCACGTCACCTCACCTGCCAGCTGGGCGCCTACTGTTCTTTGATGGAAATCTAGTGTATTTCTCCAGCATAGTGTGGTGTACATGGAGCATGCTGTGTAGCATAAAAGCTATGATGCTCTTTATTACTCCTTTTGTGGGGAGAATCGCTTCTGAGGTGAGGGCATACTTAATCTTAAGCCAGTTTAGTTTCGTCCTCTTTTCTGAGCTTTGCAGTTAAAATACTAGTTGTCATATTAGAATTGTGTACAGGGGACTGGCCGATTAGCTCAGTTGGTTAGAGCACAGTGTTATAACACCAAGGTCAAGGGTTTGGATTCTTATACTGGCCAGCCACCAAAAAAAAAAAAAAGAATTGTGTATGTGTATACAGAAGAATTGTGTATACAGAAAATCTTTTCTGGAGAAAATATTTACAGCATTGTTTTCCATTCTGAATTTGAATTGTGTATGTGTATACAGAAAATCTTTTCTGGAGAAAATATTTACAGCATTGTTTTCCATTCTGAATTTCAAAAAAAGTGAATGACTCCTTGGTTTCTCGATTCACAGATAACACCTGTTAACTAAAGAGGGGGTGCTTGACAAGGTTATATAACCTGGGCTGCATAGCACTTGGGAGGAATATTTTACTCAATTATAGACTGCGGCGTGGCTGTGTAGTATGAAATAAGCTCGCAGCTTAGTGCTCCCTGCACGTCACACTGAATAACCGCAGTAGCACAGCTCTCTGTGGTTCAATTCTTGGTGCTGCTCACCCAATAGAGTTTATGTCTTGGATGGAAAATGACAAAAATATGTTATTTGGCATTCATGCGGATACATTAGGAAGAATAAAAAATTAAAATACCACTTCTTTCTTCTTTTGCAAAGAAGAAGCGCTATGTAAACAAGCAATAAATAAGAGGAATCGGAGCAGAATACGCCAGCTGGACACAAGTGTGGAACGGAGAGCCCTCGGAGAGATTCAGAATGTGAGCGAAGCTTCCACAGCCGCACAGGGCACTTGGCAGGCCGCAGAGTCCTCGCAGGCAAACCTGGGGGAGCAGACCCAGAGTGTGCCCCAGGGAGGACGGTCGCAGCGTAGGGAGAGGCATAACCGAATGGAAAGAGATAGAAGGTAATGTGTGGGATTGGTTGTCAGGTCGATGTGTATGCAGTCGTCTTACACGTGCGAGTTTATTACAGATAAAGCAGTAGTTAGCCATTTCTATATTCAAGGGAGGAAGAAGAAGCAAGAGTAAACATTAACTTGTGTTGCTAGGTAGATTAGGGATACCCAAAGCCGCCCCCAAGTCCACTGATTCGCTGGGATGACTCAGGGCTGTGGTTTATTACAGAGAAAGCACACAAAAATTAGCAAAGGCCTGTGGGGAGAAGCCTGGGGGAGGACTAGGCACAATCTTCCAAGAGTCCTCTCCCATTGGAGTCACCCAAGATGCCCTTAATTCCACCATCAATGAGTTCTGACAGCAAGGGTGAAATGTTGCCAAGTCATTACTCAGTGCCCAGGGATTTTACTGGGGGCCTGTTACGTAGGTACTCCCCACCTACCATGTCCAGATTCCAGGCTCCCAGAGGGACGGCAAGTGCTCAGTGTAAACCCTGTTGTCAACACAGTCAGGCTCTGGGCTCGCTGAGGCCATCCTGGTAAACAGGCCTCTCTAAGGGGAGCTGCAGGCTGTTAGTTAACTCTTCCGCACTCAGGCCACTCAGCTTTGCACTAAGTGGCCAGGGTTTGTGGACTGCAGTTCTTCCAAGTCATACAGCGAAGCAGTTCCTGTCACTCGCTCCTTTAGCTTTGGCTTCTCTGTGTGATTGCTTTGCGTTTTGACTGTAGGCGCAGAATCCGCATTTGTTGTGATGAGTTGAATCTCTTAGTCCCGTTCTGCAATGCTGAGACTGATAAGGCAACAACTCTTCAGTGGACCACAGCGTTCCTAAAATATATTCAGGAAAGACATGGAGATTCTCTCAAGAAGGTTAGTATTTAATTAGGCCAGGTAGATTTTTAGGTTTTTGTAAATTTTACTTATCAATGTTCTTATATATCCTTTTTTCCCAAGGATAACTCAAACTTTCTGGTTTCCTGAAATTGTCAGATACTAAGTCCAATATCAGTGAAGCTCTGCTCATTAATGATGTAACTAGTCATTTATTAAAGTAATAATCACAGCCTAGATTTGTCTATTGGGCTACAGTATATAAATGACTGAAGTCTTAATTGTCAAATACATCGAGCACCTGCCCTGTACCGCATGTTGTACTGAGGCCTGGAAGGGGCACAGGATGTGATTTTTGCCCTCAGAAAACTTTCTGAAAGGGATGAAAGCAAGAATAGCAAAAGACAAAAATGCAGATAAATGTCAAATGAGTGGTCTGGGCTTCAAATGTGTTCAGAAGGCAAGAGAAGATACATTTTTATTGGCTGGGTGATCAGAGCCAGCTGGGGGCTCTGACACCCTGCGTTTCCGGTTCCTCATTTGACCCTGCATGTGCAGTCATGGAACCTGGTTCTGCCAGGACTGAGCTCTTGGTTTGAATGAGGAGTTCAGCCAGCCTCTGGCGGTTCAGAAGGAAGAAGAGTGAGTACCGCGGGACAGGTACTGTGCTCTGCCCTGGGGGACCTCAGTTCTAGGTACCAGCCTCAGAATCCTGGTGGTCAAGGTGAGTTGCTGTTAGGCCCCAGTGAAATAAATGCACAGGGTCCTGACTTTGTACCTTGTCTGAGCTGCTGGGTAATGGCTGCTGTTGACTTGGCAAGAGTCTCACTAGAGAATGAGCTGAGATTGGTGCAGCAAACATGGAGCCTTTTTAAGAAGGGCTCCGGTGTCTAAACACAGTAGGGCCTGGGAGAAGTCCTCCTGCGGCTGGAGGGTTCCTCCCGTCAGGCCATGCAGGAAGAGGTAGTCTTGTCTATTTCCCTTTTCTGTGTCCATGTGACATCTGCATCTCCTAAGTTATAGAATTTCATACGTTTCTTATTTTCATTATATATTTAATTGCATTTTAAAGCAAAGTGGTACCAAATTTATTTTAATTGAATCATTTGTGGTTATTTATAATGCAGTTTAACTTTGTTAGCGGTAGACTGTTGTATTGTTTTAATAAAATAAAGCTTTTATATTTTAAAAATGATTTAATGTTTGGCTTGGTGTACCTATGTTTTAGTAGTAGATTATTATTGGTAGAATTCATTCAAATATGAAAGCATTGGAGTTCTGGTCAAGACGGCAGAATAGACGGTTCCCAGTGTCACTCTCTCCCACAAATCAACCAATTTACAGCTATAAAAATGTAATATCAGCCAAGCTGGGGCCGCTGAAGCTCAGGGGAAGAGAAGGAGAGACCTAAAGGGAGTTCATGAAGGCAGGAGAAACCACGATGAGAGAAAGAAAAAACTGCTCTGAGCATTTCGTGCCACGGCCACTTTAAGGCTGGAACTGTTGAGTGCATGGACCAGGAGCCAGTAGGAGCCACAGCTGTGCCCTTCAGATGTTACTTGGAGGTGACAGGGGAGAAGTGGGCCTTGGCAGCCCCCAGGACAGCAAGACCACTGATAGGGTTCCCGTGGACCCACACAGGAGTGAGGAGCCAGAACAGCTGAAAAAAGGGAGCCATTCAGAGGCCGGTGAGTCATCGCAAGGGACTGGTGCAGGGCCTGTCCCATGGGAAGTGTTTGGAGCATGGGCAGTGGGGGACACGGGCCCACCAGGAGAACACTGGGACACAGCAAGGGCAGCCAACCCAGCCCCCAGTCAGCACAGGACCACTCAGAGGAGACTGGTCGGGAATACAGAATTGCATGGGGTGCAGTTCGATGAAAACACTCAGGCCCAGATTAGAGTTTCTACACAACCCAGATCCACCGGATCTCTAGAGAGCCGGAAGTACCTATAAGGTCAACCATTAAATCCTGAGCTGCACAAAAAGCCTTCCCTAGGGAAACAGCGGCAAAGCAGCAATTTAGCTCAACCACAGAGCTCAAGTATTGGTTCCCACAGGAAGTTCCCCCATTTTAGAAGTAAGCAAAGGACAAAAAATTAGTTCTGGCCCAGGCACACCACCAGTGCCCTGGAGACTGCCTGGGAAACGGAGGCTTGGAGCCGGGACCAGACCCCACTCCCACAACCAGGCACACTGCAACAGTGCCTTGGGGCCTGCCCAGGGACACGAGGCATGGAGGTGGGGACCGGGCTCCCCTTCCCACAACCAGGTACACTGCCAGCGCCAAGGAGCATGCCAAAAACATCACCTCCATGTGGGTGGCCCACCACAGCCACCACAATAACCATGGCTGCTGTGAAAGTGGCTAGTAACCACAACCACCACGCAGATGGTCCACCAGCCACAGGAGTACATTGACACAAGGAGAGTCACCAGCAGAGATAAAGAAAAGAAGAGGATGTGTCTCTCCACAAAGCCCATTTGAGAGTGACAGAAGAAGCATCTGCTCTATGATAATATTGGGGGACCTGATCACACCTCTCAGCATTGGACAGATCATCTAGGCAACAAATTAACAGAGTAACCAATATTCTTTCAGAAGGAGAGAAGAAATCTAGGGTAATTAGAGTGGGGAGGGGGGAGGAAGAGAGAGGTGGGGAGAGATTGGATAAGAGGCATAAAGAGTACTTATGATTTGTAACAATATATAGGCTAGTAATATTGATTTAATCAACATTTCAATGTTGAGCCCTCAAAATATAATCAATTTTGATTCAATAAATAAAAGAAATAAATAAAAGAAATAGTAAAAAAACAAATATGAAGACATTTATACATATATATATATACACACACATACACACAAACTTGAAGGTTAAATAGATATGGATATTATGTTTTTTATATGTTATGTTTCCTGGATATTTCTGAAATTTAATTATGTTGAACTTGTGTACAGTTCCTGGGTCAAATTACTGGACCCATCAAGAAACAGGCTGAAGCAAAATCAATTAGCAATCTCGGGGAATTAGAATGTAAATAGCGTAAACACCTCTGTACTTAATTATTTCCTTAGTAACTTTCTCCCTCTAGCTTGCATGCACATTTTTGTTCTTAAAAATGCAATACATGAGTTTTAAGTGATTTTCCTAAGTTATTTTAGTACACATTTCATTCAACTGATCTTTCCTAGTATAACTGGGTATATGTCCAAGATGCTGGGGCACCTGGTGGGAGGTGGTCAACACGCAGTCAGTGAACGAGACAGTGTCGGGTCCTGCCATGGGGTGGGAGACCCTGCCATGAGCCAGCGGGACTGCAGGGTGGCTTCTTGGGATTGGGTGGTGTGAGCCAAGGCCCAAATGATGAGCCCTGAGCTGGGAAATTGCAGTTCCACAGGCCTTGGGGTGGGGGCACCACCCACCCTGTCTGGGGAGCAGCAAGGCCAGGGCCTGGTGGGCTGCAGATCCCGTTAAGGTCTAGGGACCCCGGAAGGGTGAAGGGAGGGAGTGACATGATCTGACATGTTTTACAGGATTGGGCGCCAGGGAGTAGAGGTGATAGGAAGGCTGCTTAGTCAGGGCCTGGCTCGGCGGGAGAGGGCAACAGCACTGAGGAAAGGGGGCACACGCTGTAGCGTGTGTGGTCATGCTGGATGTGGGATGCCACAGAAAGGAGGCATCAGGGGTGACTGGGGGTTTGGCCTCAGCAGGTGGGTGGATGGGAAGATGGGTGGAGGGGTCCAGGGGGTGGGGCCTCAGCTTGGTGAGTTTCCAGTGTGAGAAGCATGGGGGGGGAATCCATGCAGATTTTTGCAAATACCAAGCCAAGCATCAATAAGGAAAAGTCTAAGAAAATTAATATTCTGGACTTTAGGTTGTCCTGAGAGAAAAACTGAGCTACCAAATCATAATATTACTTACATCTTTAAACAAACCTCCTCCTCTCCCACCAAAAAGTCTGCCCTCTGCCCTCTGTCCTGATAAAAGTATCATTAGTAGTGAAGGGGTTAAAAAGTATGTGTAAAGACACCTTTAGTCTAGTCAAACAAACATGTTAATAATAGATGACCAATGTTGCGCTGTATGGTGTGGAGTCTGAAAAATGCTACAAACCGTTAAGTCTCCTATTTGTGAAATGCTTCAACAGAACCCATGTGTGGGAAGAACGTATCCCTGAGGACAGCTCCATCTGTGTATTTCCAACCACAGCTCTCTTTCAGATGAAAAAACTGGTAGGGGACCTTTGTAGGCCTCCTCATGGCTCAGTGGCTTCATCTAATGCTTCCTTCTGATTGGCCCTGCTTTCAAGACACTCTGTCATTGGTGTGGTTTCAACAGTCAGATCTTTGGCAATCATACACTACAAGGCCAACGAAGAGTTTCTCCATCAGACAGCAAAAACAGTGCATGGCTTAAACTCTTACACTTGAGCACACACAGCACACGAGCGCCTGCATCCCTGCCTCCTGATCTCAGCAGTTGACACCCACCATAGGTACTGCACATCTATACACACGCACTTCAGACAGCTACAGACATGAACCTTCAACTCTAAACATTTCTGCAGTGTCTCCAAAAGACAGGCCTTCTCCCACGTAATGTGTTCTCTTGTCTTCTAATGCCCAGTCCATGTTCAGATTTCCCCAGAATGTTCCAGAAATGCTTTTTATAGCTGCTTTTTCCTTCTGATCCAGCACCCAGCCATGGATTATGCCCTGCATTTGATTATGCTGTAGCAATCCCACTCCACCCAGTTACTGATTAGTGTGTTGAGATTTTGAGGAGGTCAGACAAGTTGTCTGCCAAATGCCCCACATTCTGGATTTAGATGACTCTATTTGTGGTAATTTTAAATTTTGCTGTAACTTCAAATTTACGGGAAAATTGCAAGAATAGTACAGAAAGCTCCTTGTGTACCTGCCTGGCTGTGTTCTCTAGCCGTTTGTCAGTCTCCACATGTGTCTTTCTAACCGTTGGACCCCGGGTTGCGGCGCATGCCTCTATAAATACTTCCGTGTTTACTCTTAAGAATA